CCGCCCCCCCGCGGACGCGCCTGAGAGGTCCTGGGCCCGCTCCGACGCGCGGAGCAGCCCCCTCTCCCGGGCCGGGGGCGCACGGGTTGCCTGGGTTCTTGAGGCGAGGGAGAAACCCGGGAAGCCCGGTCCAGGAAGGGGTCCTGCGCTGTGAGGTTTTTGGGTGGCAGCCCCCTGCGCACGACAGTCGCCTCCCGAGGCGCTGAGGGTAGTTGGGGGCTTCCCTTGGGAGGCTTGAGGCCGAGGTCCCGGGAGGCTCAGCAGCAACAGCTGCTTGCGGGCAAGGAGCGGCCGAGGAGGCCTAGGCGCCCCCGGAGGTATCCATGGGGCCACGCGTGTCGCGCACCCTCCTCCTCTCAGGGTCCCGGGTCTTGACACCCCATTGCGCCCCCAGTGCAGGGCTCGCGGCCTGGCAAGAATGTACAGCTGACAGAGAACGAGATCCGCGGCCTGTGCCTGAAATCCCGGGAGATTTTCCTGAGCCAGCCCATTCTTCTGGAGCTGGAGGCACCCCTCAAGATCTGCGGTGAGCCCCCCGACCCAGGTCCCCTTGCTTTCCTGAAAGTGGCACTGGCCCCCACAGAGTTCCTGGAGTCCTCCTCCCTTGAGCCCAGTCCTGGTCCTGGGTTCAGGTCTAGACCCTGCATCTAGCTTACCCGATTCCCTGGGTCACAGGTGATATACACGGCCAGTACTATGACCTTCTGCGACTATTTGAGTATGGCGGTTTCCCTCCGGAGAGCAACTACCTCTTTCTGGGGGACTATGTGGACAGGGGCAAGCAGTCCTTGGAGACCATCTGCCTGCTGCTGGCCTATAAGATCAAGTACCCCGAGAACTTCTTCCTGCTCCGTGGGAACCACGAGTGCGCCAGCATCAACCGCATCTACGGTTTCTACGATGAGTGTGAGTGGTCTGAGCGTCTGGGGCTGCCCGGGTCCTGAACCACACTCCTTGTCATTCAATGGGACCTTCACATTGGCCTGATATCTGACAGACACTTGCTAGACTGTGCGCTCCACGAAGGCAGGGCCCAGGTCCGTTCTTGTGCCTGCCCTGCCCCTCCTGGCATGGGGTCTGGGGAATGGTTGCTGACTGAAGGACTGTCCATATTCTAGTGCTTTCCCCCAGGGCCCTGCCTGGTGACGTTCCCCCTGCATTTGCTACTAAGCATTTAGGATGTTTGCAGATGAGCTCTGCTGTCCAGAAGCTGAGATAAACCAGACCTGTACTTGGCCCGGCTCGTGGGCCGGGGCGTGCAAGGAGTGCCAACCCTGAGGCTGGTCCAGATTGGAACTCAGTTTCCAGTGGACTCGGGTGCTTTAGAATTACTTCTGGTGGGAGGCTGAGGCGGGAAGATCACTTGGACCCAGAAGCTCCAAGTTACAGTGAGCTATGATCTTGCCACTGCACTCCAGCCTGGGTGACTGAGCAAGACCCTGTTTCTTTACTTTTTTGAGACGGAGTTTCGCTCTTGTTGCCCAGGCTGGAGTGCAGTGGTGTGATCTCAGTTCACCACAACCTCCATCTCCCGGGTTCAAGTGATTCTCCTGCCTCAGCCTCCCGAGTAGCTGGGATTACAGGCATGCAACACCATGCCTGGCTAATTTTTTTGTATTTTAGTAGAGACAGGGTTTCTCCATGTTGGTCAGGCTGGTCTTGAACTTCTGACCTCAGGTGATCTGCCTGCTTCAGCCTCCCAAAGTGCTGGGATTACAGGTGTGAGCCACCATGCCCTGCCCAGATCCTGTTTGTTTAAATTACAAATTAAAATAAAAAGTAACTAGAATTACTCCTGGAAGGCTGACAGGCGGCAGGGGTGGGGGTGGTTTGCATTGGTGCCTGACTCTCTCCCATCTGCGGCTGAATAGCCCAGGGACCCCGGCTAAGGGTGGAGCAGGCAGACCCCTCACAGCTACCTCCCTCTGGGCAGGCAAGAGACGCTACAACATCAAACTGTGGAAGACGTTCACTGACTGCTTCAACTGCCTGCCCATTGCGGCCATAGTGGACGAAAAGATCTTTTGCTGCCACGGAGGTGAGCTCTCCTTAGTTGTCATCTGGGAAGTCACTCCTTTCAGGAAGTGTCTCCCATACCCCCCCGTGCTGGGCTGCACTCACTTCCTTGATGTGCATCCTACATGGGGCGGGCTTGTCTTCTTTCTCCCAGGAGCTCTGTGCTCCGGAGGGCAGGGGCGCCTTTGTGCCTGTTTGGGAACTTGAAAAAGCTGAGGGGAAGGGGATGGCTTCTGCCTGCCTAGGCACCCAGGAGACCAGTGGAGGGACCAGGAGGGTGGTGGAAAAGGTGAGGCTCACTGGCCAAGGCTTCCTGGAGGAAGGATGTCCTTGTTTGAGGAAGTGACCTTCCTTCTGGCCCTCCAGGCCTCTCCCCGGACCTGCAGTCCATGGAGCAGATTCGGCGGATCATGCGGCCCACAGACGTGCCTGACCAGGGCCTGCTGTGTGACCTGCTGTGGTCTGACCCTGACAAGGACGTGCAGGGCTGGGGCGAGAACGACCGTGGCGTCTCTTTTACCTTTGGAGCCGAGGTGGTGGCCAAGTTCCTCCACAAGCACGACTTGGACCTCATCTGCCGAGCACACCAGGTGGGCTGGCGGCTCCCGTCTGTGGCAGGGGAAGGGGAGGGCCTTGCCTGCGCTTGGGACTGACTGCTCCGATCCTCACCCAGGTGGTAGAAGATGGCTATGAGTTCTTTGCCAAGCGGCAGCTGGTGACACTTTTCTCAGCTCCTAACTACTGTGGCGAGTTTGACAATGCTGGCGCCATGATGAGCGTGGACGAGACCCTCATGTGCTCCTTCCAGGTGAGTGTGGGGAAGAAAGGAGCTACTAGGCCCCGTGGCTCAGCCCCATGAGCCTGACCAACCCTGTCTCTTTTAGATCCTCAAGCCCGCCGACAAGAACAAGGGGAAGTACGGGCAGTTCAGTGGCCTGAACCCTGGAGGCCGGCCCATCACCCCACCCCGCAATTCCGCCAAAGCCAAGAAATAGCCCCTGCGCCCCGCGCCTGTGCCCCAGATGATGGATGGATTGTACAGAAATCATGCTGCCATGCTGGGGGGGGGGTCACCCCGGCCCCTCAGGCCCACCTGTCACGGGGAACATGGAGCCTTGGTGTATTTTTCTTTTTTTTTTTTTTAATGAATCAATAGCAGCGTCCAATCCCCCAGGGCTGCTTCCTGCCTGCATCAGCGGTGGCTGTGAGCAGGATCCTGGGGCTGAGGCTGCAGCTCAGGGCAACGGCAGGCCAGGTCGTGGGTCTCCAGCCGTGCTTGGCCTCAGGGCTGGCAGCCGGATCCTGGGGCAACCCATCTGGTCTCTTGAATAAAGGTCAAAGCTGGATTCTCGCCACGGCCTCCGTCTCGCGTCTAAGACGCTGCCTGGCAGCTCTTCTGCGCAGAGCTACTTGGGAGGCTGGGCACCAGGCCCCAGCAAGGGCAACCCTAGCCACACACGCAGGTCCGAGGCTCTTAGAATTCCAGGTCGGCACCAAAGAGTATCAGGAAAGCAAGAAAAAGTGTCAGCTCCACGGGCGTCCCAGATGCATGCCCAGGACTTCAGGAAGGAACAGGTCAGGTCATGATTGGCAGAGAAGCTGGATCGTCAGGGGCCAGCAGCACCTGCTGTGACGTTTTCCTTAGGAAGGTGAGCCTGAGGGAGACAGGTTTCCAGCCTTGGCCAGCTGGAGTATAGCCTGAGACTCAATGGGAAATAAGAGGTAGGAACGTCAGTAGTTCAGGGCCAGGTCTGGAAAGTCATGATTGGCTGGGGGTTGTGGGGAGATAACAGGGCCCAGGCCTGACTGCTGCGGGACAGCTTTACAGTGACAGCCAGCTGGGGCCTGCGAGAGGCAGTGAAACAGCTCAGCTCCAGCAAGCCCACCTTTCTGGTCCCCAGGGCTGAGACCCAGCTCTTCTACTGGCTGGGGTTTCATCTAGTCCAAGGCCTCTGGGTACAGGCTTCAGGTTCTTGGTTCAGCCTTCGCCCTCACTGTCTTCAGCCAGCACAGGGCTGGGGCCCTGGGGGGAGCGTACAGGGGCCAGGATGGAGCCGAAGAACAGTGAGCGGAACTGCAAAGAGAACAAGTGAGTTCTGGAGGCTGCTCCCTTCCCCACCTCCTGCCCCTGCCTCCACCTCCAGTCCCTACCTTCTTGGGCGGGGGAGTCCCAGGCACTGTACTGGGCTCAGCCTCATCTTCCTCGGAGTGGAGACCGGGGCTCTCGGGGTGCTGGGGGCCAGGTGAAAGGGAAATGGAGGGCAGCACCCGCGAGCCCTCATTGCCTACAGTGGTTTCCATGGCGATCATGTAAGAGTCAATGTCGTCATTGGCAAAGTCGTCTGGGTGGGGTATGCTGCAGGCAGAATCGGAGTATCAGGGAGGAAATGGGGAGCAGAGGCAGGGCCCCACCGTAGAGGGCTCCAAGGGAGCTCCGGGGCCCCCTGACCACTGAAGATCTCTTGGTTTTATGACTTCCTGATTTGGCTGGAGAGGAGAGGATGCAGGGGTTAAGTGGTGGCTTCCTGGAAGGGGTGGGCCAGGAATGTCTGATCAGAATTCAGGTAGGGGCCTGAGGAAGGCATCCTGGCGGCTCCTTTAGCTCAGCTAGGGGAGAGGAACAGCAAGTCCTGTGAACTGGGCCACATGGGGCCCAAGCCCCCGCCTTCCCAGGGGACAGGAGCTGGAGAGCACAGGAGGCCGGGGACAGGCTGGGCTGGGGGCCAGCCCCAGCTTCCTGTGCTGAAAGTGCACTGGGCCATCCTCCCCAGCCCACCTGCTCTTCCAGCCACCTGCTTCCCCCAGCCCAGGCAGCTCCTGCCTCCCAGCAGCCCTTTCCCTCCTTGGCCTGGGAGGAGGCTCAGAGGGGAGGCCTCAGCCAGAGAAGGAAGCCGGCAGGGCCTTGGGGATGCTTCCCTGGGTGGGAGGAGTCTCTGAGTACAGCTGACCAAGAAGGCTGAGTCTGCAGGGCTGGCAGCTGTGAGCACTGTAGGGGTACGGACTGGGGCCCGATGGGGAGAGAGGAGGAACAGGAGGGAAGCGGGAGAGAACACATTGCAGGGAGGTGCAGAAGCTAGGAATTGCAGTCTCAGGCTGGAGTGCACAGACATGGGGAGAGGAGGAGTTGGGGGAGGTGCCCTCACCTGTGAGCCTGGAGCTGAGGCACTGGCTGGTGACGCTCTGGGGAGCCCAGGTCCTGGGAGTGCGAGTCAGTGTCTGAGAGTGTGGCCAAGACAAAGTGGCCATCCAGCAAAGAGTCCTTGATGGTGAAGATGGCAGGCCTGGGCAGGGGATGGGGGTCCCAAGCTAGGTCATCCCATTCAGCTCCTGGCATCCCAGAGCCCTTCCCTGTCCCAAGGCTGGGAATTACCTGCCTGGAGCATCAAAATGAATGCTAAGATTCAAGTTTGCTGACTCTGCAAAGCTCAGGAGCCCCTGAGAGGAAAGAGGTAGCAGGTGAGGCCCCGGGTTGGGCTGAGCTGGGCAGGCAGGACAGGACCGGCAAGTGCGTGGGGGCAACCTCACCCGGAATTCCTTGAGGCAGAAAGTGATAGCCACCCCTTCCTGGGCCTGCAGCTGCTGGAAATCCTCCTCTCCAAGGCACATCTCAGTCACCATGGCTTTGGCAGTGCTGTCTGTTGGGGAAGAATAGGAGGAACCTGGGCCCTACCCCTCTCCCACCTGCCACTCTGCTCTGTCCCAGGTCACGTCCAGCTCCCTCACCTGCCTCCTCCTCATGGTAGCTGCGCAGGATGACCCTGCGGCCACGGCCAATGCCCAGCGTCACTTCAGCCAGCGCAGGAGGGAAGGGCAGAACAGCCTCCCCCAAGACCCTGTGAACGGGGCGGAGCATTACCCCCAATGCTTGGCCCTGCCCAGGGCTTTGCTCGCAGAGGACCTGAGGCGGGGGTCACACATGCACACGCATGGATGTGCGCAGGCCTAGCACACGGTGGACGAGGCCCAGATAAGGTGGCAGGAAGGGGCTGGTTGCAGTGATTGCTCAAACCTGGCAGGTGGTACCTGACCATGCAGAGCAGGGAGAGGGCCCAGAGGCAGGACATGGCACTCATGCCGCCCTACAAACCCGGCCTTCAGAAAGAGCCCTGAAATCCTTATCCTCTAGGGATACCCATTGCTATACAGATGAGATCACATCTGGAATTTGCTTCAAGTCAAGTGGGGACGGGAGCTGCATCTGCTTTTACATATATTTGAAATTATTCACGAGACAGCGCTCGCTTCAGCAGCACATACGCTAAAACTGCAGCATGCAAAAGATTAGCGAGGCTCCTGCACAAGGATTAAAAAAAAACAGAGTAGCTGGGTGCAGTGGCTCATGCCTGCAATCCGAGCACTTTGGGAGGCCGAAGCAGTGGATCATTTGAGGTCAGGAGTTCGAGACCAGCTTGGCCAACATGGTGAAACCTCGTCTCTACTAAAAATACAAAAATTATCCAGGCATGGTGGTGCATAACTGTAATCCCAGCTACTCGGGAGGCTGAGGCAGGAGAATTGCTTCAACCTGGGAGGGGGAGATTGCAGTGAGCTGAGATTGCACCACTGCACTCCAGCCTGGGCGACAGAGCAAGACTCCGTCTCAGAACAAACAACATGAGAGAAACGACTGCTCATTTTTTAAAAAAAGAGACTGGGGGCCAGGTGTGGTGGCTCACGCCTGTAATTCCAGCACTTTGGGAGGCTGAGGCGGGCGGATCACGAGGTCAGGAGATCGAGACCATCGTGGCTAACATGGTGAAACCCCATCTACTAAAAATACAAAAAATTAGCCAGGCGTGATGGCAGGCGCCTGTACTCCCAGCTACTCGGGAGGCTGAGGCAGGAGAATGGCGTGAACCCGGTAGGCGGAGCTTGCAGTGAGCCGAGATCCCACCACTGCACTCCAGTCTGGGCGACAGAGCAAGACTCCATCTCACACACACACACAAAAGGGCGCGGTGGCTCACGCCTATAATCTCAGCACTTTGGGAGGCTGAGGCGGGCAGATCACCTGAGGTGGGGAATTCAAGACCAGCCTGACCAACATAGAGAAACCCTGTCTCTACTAAAAATACAAAAAATTAGCCAGGCATGGTGGCACATGCCTACAATCCCAGCTACTTGGTAGGCTGAGGCAGGAGAATCACTTGAATCGGGAGGCAGAGGTTGTGGTGAGCCTAGATCGTGCCACTGCCTGGGCAACAAGAGCGAAACTCCATCTCAAAAAAAAAAAACAAAAAAAAAACCCTAAATGCAGCCCGAGGAATTGGCCCCCCTCTCTACCCAAAAGAGCTCTGAGCAGTGCTGGCTCAAGAGAACCTAGGGAAACAGATGTCAGGACCCAAAGGGACATTCAGTCACCCTGAGAAATAAGCAGGACCTTGGGCCACTTGAATACAAGCAGTGTCCAGCGTGGGACAGGGACAGGGGGAGAGCCCACTCCTCTCTGAACTGGTCCTTGCCAGGGACCTTTGCTTCCACTGGAGTCCCTGTTTCCCTGGCCCCAGACAGACCCCGGTGCTCGGACTGCCCAGAATGGCTCCACCCACAGCTGATTACTCAGGCAGCCCTCCTGAACCACAACCTCCCCTCCAGCCTCCTGCCCTGGCCTTGGGGACTCCTTGATCCTGGGCAGTCAGGAAAAGAGGCTGCCCTTGAGTGGGGAGCACCTCTGGAAGGATGCCCAGGCCGGAGAAGGGGTGTGAGCCTCTGAGCCACAGGTTAAGGGAAGACCTTCAAGGTTACTCAAGCCAGACAAGAGATTTGGTGGCAGGCCAGAAATCTGCTCCCTAGAGGAGGAATTGGAATGGGTCTGAGCAGCCAGAAAGTCAAGTCAGACCTTTGGGATGGAGAACGAAGGCTCCTAACAGTGAGGAGAATGGAGCAAGGAGGCGCCTGCCCCTCCTCCATGCCACCGTCTGCCTTTAAAGAGCCAGGTAAGGACCTGAGCACATAGCGGGCCATGGGATGTCTTTGAGGTTCACAGAAACTCTGTAGGGAAATGAAGGACAAAGCTTCTTAAATCAACCCTTGAGGCCCCAAAGAAGGAAGAGAGAGACCTGGAGCTGAGCTGAGGGCAGGGGTGTGCTCACCGTGCTGGGGCGCGGAGCATGTGGGGGCACGAGGCTGGGTCGAAGACGGCCTGCAGGGACTCACAGTCCTGGAAGGACAGGTTGTGAGTCTTCCGCACCCCTGGATGGGCGATAGGGTCTCAGTGGGCCTCGCCGACCTCCCTGCTGAGGCACCCCTTGGCTGGCCGGCTGCCCACTCACCGAACTTGCAGTGCAGCTGGACCACCAGGCGGCTGCTTCGGCCGTTCAGGGAGATGCAGCATTTTTCCACCGTCTTCTCCAGCATTGCCAGTGAGCGGAAGACAGACAGGAAGGACTAAATGGGATAAGACACCTCAGCCTAGCACCGCATCTCTGCAACAAGCTCTCCTGTCCCGTGTAGGCCCACACCAATCATGGGCCCAGCATGTAACTCTGGGAAAAGGGCTCCCACATCACACGGGACACTGGCATCCTTCTAGGCCTCATTCATGCTCTTCCTTATGCTTGCAATGCCTTGAAAGACCTGCTTACCTTTCTCTTTTTTTTTTTTCTTTGAGATGGAGTCTCACTCTGTCACCCAGGCTGGAGTGCAGTGGTGCGATCTTGGCTCACTGCAGCCTCCGCCTCCCGGGTTCAAGCAATTCTCCTGCCTCAGCCTCCCGAGTAACTGGGATTATAGGCGCCCACCACCACACCCGGCTAATTTTTGTATTTTTAGTAGAGACGGGGTTTCACCATGTTGGCCAGGCTAGTCTTGAACTCCTGACCTCATGATCTGCCCACCTCAGCCTCCCAAAGTGCTGGGATTACAGGTGTGAGCCACCGCACCCGGCCAAAAGACCTGCTTACCTTTCTCTTTTTTTTTTTTTTTTTTTTTTGAGACGGAGTCTCGCTCTGTCACCCAGGCTGGAGTGCAGTGGCGCGATCTCGGCTCACTGCAACCTCCGCCTCCCGGGTTCAAGCAATTCTCCTGCCTCAGCCTCCCGAGTAACTGGGATTATAGGCGCCCACCACCACACCCGGCTAATTTTTGTATTTTTAGTAGAGACGGGGTTTCACCATGTTGGCCAGGCTAGTCTTGAACTCCTGACCTCATGATCTGCCCACCTCAGCCTCCCAAAGTGCTGGGATTACAGGTGTGAGCCACCGCACCCGGCCAAAAGACCTGCTTACCTTTCTTGACGAACTTGAGCCTCACCACCCTCTCAGGTCCCCGCTGTGATGCTTTTACCAAGGCCCTCCCTGTGTTTTGATGGATTGGACTTGCACGTGTCTCTCTCCCCACTTAGCATCTACTGAGTACCCCAGGGCAGAGGCACAGCTGGTGGAGATTCCTGGGGTGGGGCAGTACCACTGCTGAGGGAAGGGCCTCACCTTCATCAGGATCTTACAGCGCAGCAGGTCCTGACCAGGGGTGGCTGCCTGGTATTGCTGGAAGAAGAGCGGAGCAAAGAGAAAGCAGGCATAGGCAGAGCGGGAGGAGTTCACCGTCCGGAGGGAGAGCTGGGCCACGAAGAGCAGGGAGAGGGACGTGGTCAGGGGGCAGCCACAGACCCAGCCCTCCGGCTGCTTCTGCTCACACACTTGCTCTATCGTCCTCCCGCTCTGCCACCACCTGCTGAAACCCTCCTTCCCCATGAAGCCTTCAGAGTCGGCCTCGGCGCTGCTGCCGCAGAGGAGCGGTCGCACACCCAGGCCTTCCCCGAGTTTCTCTAAGGGCACGTTACCCCCTGGGAGCTCGCAGGAGGCCAGCTTTCAATTCACACACGGGCCTGGGAAGATGACAGGCGCTAGGCTGAGAAACTGAAACTCTGCCGACAAATCTGCCAGCGGTCATCCCGCCTAGTGGGGGCGAGACTCGAGTCCGGGTTACCCGCTCCCGGCTGGAGTCCCACCCGCCCCCCCACA